TCTTTTATACACACTCCTCGTCCTGCCCGTCCCCGCCTTTTGTTATGCTTCCCCAACAACAACAAAAACCCTGTCATTCGTCTGTGCTTTGTGTAACTAGCTAGTAACAAAGGTAAATCCTAGACATTAAGTGTACGACAAAAAGTCCCCTTTTAAATACCAAACCTCTACAGAAACCCCAAATTAACCCAAGCAAAAGAAAACCCGCCCTTACCTTATCTTATATATATATATAAATATATACATATATATGTTTTACAGCGAGTCTCAGATTTTACTTAACTACGCACATAAGTCACGAAAATACCTACTACAACTACTTACTATATATATGTACATATATATATATAGATATATAAATCTACTTTTCTGTATATAACAAACACATGTATATGTATTTATTTATATGATGCAAGGAATATGAAAGAAAACGGATTAAAAACCAAAAAGTGTCTTAGACCTACGACCAAATTATTGTTCTTTACAAAGAAGGAGATGAAGCTGAAGACGAAGAAGAAGAAGCAACACACAAAACAAGAAATTCCTGTAAAATAAAAGCTACAATTTACCAACTATTTATAAATGATATCCAGCTATTATATATATACATGTATGTATCTATATTTATATTTATATGGATATATCGAAATTTACCCTTACGTGCCGTCGAAGCAATTACTAGTATTTAAGCGTGCGAGTTATCGTTTATGCGGTTATCGTTAATCGATAACAATAAAAAATTTAAAAAATAAACACAAAACAAAACATTTCTAGCCTCCTCTTTTTGTTCGAATATACCGAAAAACAGTTATAAAATACAACTAATTTTCAGTATCACAAATCTAAATAAATATATATACAAATTTTATATATATGTATATGCGCTCCATACAGACGATAAAACTTAACGAAAAAACAAAAAATAAACTGTAAATCAAAAAAGAAAAACAAAAATGAACAACTCAAAATTTTTTACAAACACTTAAAGGTATATATAAAAACATATATGCATAAATAGTTAGGAAATTGTCATACAAAAATAAATAAAATAAAATCCAAGGCAAAAATCCTTTTATTATATTGTAATTCACACACCCACAAATTCTACGTACCAAAATTTTTTATACCCTGAACCCATTTTCAATGGGAAATCAGGGTATAATGGTTTTGTTAAAAGTATGTAACAGGCAGAAGGAGGCGAACGAGCTGAGTCGATTTGGCCCTGTCCGTCTGTCTGTCCGTCCGTCCGTCCGTCCGTCCGTCCGTCCGTCCGTCCGTATGTATGAACGCGTCGATTTCAGAAGATATAAGAGCTAGAGACTTCAAATTTTTTTTAAAATGTCCGTAATTACAGCGCGCATATCAAGTTTATCATTAAAAATCGATAACTCATCCCGATCTTTTTTTATCGATAAAAAACCTTATCGAAAACCAGTTATAAAATTATATCTTCTACACCCTTATTGCTAGAGTCTCCAAATTTTTAATGTATGCTTATATGCAATTTATACAATTTCGGTTTTTGTTAAAATTTACCCCCCNTTTTGCATAAAATATAAATTTTCCTTTTTTCTAATGTCAAATGTAAATTTCTAGTTCTAAACTTAAATAAGTAAAGTTTAAATACTTTAAAAAAACATACGACAAAAAAAAATTTTAAAAATATTAAAAATATTGTAAAAACGCATAAAAATTAAAAAAAAAAGAATCATTTTTAATTATATTTTTCTGTTTTCTAAATGCGCTAAAATAAAAAATAAATAAAATGTGTATGTAGTTAATACATAAAATACTATTAAATTAAATATTTAAGTAATTGTTTATTTCTAAAAGTAAACAACAAAAACAGGCATAAGAGTATATTCAATGTAATAACACAGTTATTTGTTTCAAATAAATCTTACATTTAATTTTAATTACAATTCCTGTTATTATTWTTATTTACACTGTACTACGTGCTACTGAAACGAATTGCTATAAATTCAAAAAATTATTAAATATGCAAATAATTGCACGTTTAATTTACACTCATATATATATAGTTTTATACCTAGGTACTTGACCATATCAATTGAATTGCAAATACATATGAAAATAATTGATATTCGGTATGCCGATTATTTAATACCCTCATAGAGACACTTTGATATGAGAGCTCTACGATAGGAGATTTTATTTTAAATTATCGCCAAATATCATATTTCAGTAAATTCCCACATAGTAAAAAAAATCAAGTTTTATTAAAATATCTTTAAAATCAACAAAGTCTTTTCTACAAATGTTTTACTTGCATTGAATTTTATCTATGACAGCAATATGATATAGTGATCCAATTTTGATAAGATTATGTTTACACTTGTATATAGAAAAACCTGTGAAAACCGAAACATTTACCAATTAGTTTAGAAAATCTAAAAACATAAATCATCTGCTTTTTATTGATCTTTCCCATGACAGCTATATGATATAGTACACTGATTTAATGCGATTTATTTATACGGATCTATAATAGGTAATAGCTATAACCCACTCTGCAGATAGACCTGGGTTGATGAGTCACCTATTGATATTGATATATACCTTTTATATAGGTATGTACATATGTGCATATGCTTATTTATATTTATTTCTCTATAATATATTTAGGTATACAATTTTCCTGTTGTCTACTTTCATGCGTTACATGCCTCGTCACATAGTGTAACTATCCCAAAGCGTTATAGAGTACATAAATAAACACATTTTTTATTTGCACATACGACAAACGCAGACGTTAACATGGGCTGCAGATTACAATTAGCTGCAACGGTTGTTGTGTGGCGGTTGTTGTTATTGCTGTTGTTGTTGTTTTGCTATTTTGTGCGCTGCTCTGTAAATAAGCACGACGCAATTTGTGGCTCGAGCTATATTTAGAAGCCAAAGTTCGATGCGAAGACACAGTTAGTCCTATTTTACTATTGCCTTTTACCATTCACGCAAGGAGTAAGAACTGGTGTAAGAGCAAGAGAGACACGTATATGCATAAATAAATACATCTGTATGTGTGCATGCAGTTGCACATGCATGCTTTTACGCTCGCATCCTTATGCATGTGTGCGCACACAAACACACACACACACACGCACAAGTCATAGTAGAGCATGTGCTGTGCGCACAACTCATAAATGTTGAGACAAGCTTACTTTATTAATAAAACATGGGAAAAATGCTAAACTACATGCACCGACCTGCAGATACACTACCAGACATAAGCAACAAATTAGAAAGTTTACTTGATTTGCATTTAATTTATTTATTTATTATTTATTAAACTTAACACCTCAGGCTAGTCACATTGACTTTCAATACATACGTTACATATTGCCTAATATAAGTTGAACAACCTTTTTTACTAGCGTGCTAAAAGCGCGAAGCGCAAATCGCAATTAAAAAATCAAGCTTTTGATTTTTATAACGCTGCTCGCGTTGACTTTGCTGATACTGTTAACGGTAAAAGGGCAAGTCGCACAAAAGAGCGTAGGCGAGAGAGAGAGAGAGAGAGCGCCTTAACGCGCTAAATGTCACATCTCTCAGCCTCCCTCCCACTCACTGCCACTCGCATATGGTTTTAGTGTTCTCTCGTGTCGTTTTTTAATGAAGCGCCAAAATCAAATCAAAATTGTCGCACTAATGGAAGCTACATGTGTATATGACGCTTCGACTATAGCGTCATTATTGTTATCGGCTCACTCCGCTGGACGACCGGTTCCTAACACTAAAGGCGCAAATGTTATCAGCAAACACGAGAGAGAATTACAAAAACAACAACAGGGGGCGCCTCAAACGACATTCCAAGACGCAGCCAACGGCCATGCTGCTAACCAGGGGGGCTCACAAAGTTACTTGAAAAGTGCACAAATATACATATGTATATGTATTTATGTATATAAATATTATATACATACATACAAATATAGTTTTGCCAAACAGTTGAATGCTCCTTTATGGCACACAATGATAAGCTCTCTGACGTGCATAACAATAATGCAATATGCATAGAATAGTCATAATGGAAGTAATTAGTATTGATCACAAGGCAAAAGCTATCGATTCACAATAGGGCGTGACAGTCGTTCACAATATCATGACAAATACATACGTACATATAAATATTTTGCATTGAAGATTTTTGCTTTTTGATTTGTAATCAGTGTTGATTAAATTTAGTATAGCTTTTTCTATCCACCTTGCCCCACTGTGGGTCAGGCTATGATTAAAGCAATAAACAACCCCAACAACAAGAACAACAACAACAATCGCAATATACTATATAAAAGAAATATAATAAATACTTATAGAAATAATATGGATTGTAACGTAAACAGGCGATATTGCACAAAGTGTACATATAAGAAATTGAATTTGCGAATCAGTTTCTTGTGAATGTACACATGTATGCGTGTGTGTGTGTGAGGAATTGCATACATAACCTCAGTTTGTTACTATTGTGAATGAAGCCGCGTGCACATGCGCCCCAACAGCCCCGGTAAGAGGGAGTGAGAGAGCAAAAGCGCTAGATACGCCAAAAGGTTGTCGCACAAGAAAATTTAACATATAAGAAGAGTAAACATTTCGATATTTGCTTTTCCAATTTAGTGAATGACTATTTTAACAGTCTGAACAAATATTTGACTAATAATACGTCATACGAATGTTTGGGTGGGTAAATTACCGTACGACTTGCGAAAAGAATTGATTCACAATAGACATATGTAGATTGTTATTGCCATTTGCATGGGTCACAATAGGCAGACATTGTTATTTCCTTCACACTCGGCAAAATTGATAACGAGATAACAAATCAAAAAATACATATTAATTTATATATGATGAATCAATACATTTTCGGCGCAATGCGACAGAAAGAGAGAAATATGGCAATTTGTCAGCAACCTGAAATACTCTCAAACTGTAAGCGCCAACAGCTTTCAAAGTTTTGCATACACAGACAAAAAGCTCGCTTTGGTTTCTCAACTCCTAGACGATAGGCTATCTTTATTGACTACTTTGCTGAAGGCTGACCGCTCTTTTCATATTCATATTCATATTCTATTGGTGCGCAGGAAATCATCATCGTCATCATCATCGCTGGCATCCTCGACGACGCTGTAGGAGCTTTTGCCAGCGCCTTCCTTTGCGAGATGCGTCTCGAAGAACTCCTCCACGGTGTCCGTATTCCATTTGGTTATGGACAATGTTTCTTGTACCTTGCCACTGGCATCCAACAGTTTCACAATTGGATCTAAGCCGCGCACATATTTGATTTGCAGATTGGGGAACTTTGCAGGCCGACCGCTCTGTATGAATGCCTGGATCTGAGGATATGCACGGAATTTACAGGTGCAAACTTCAAGAATCGCCTTGGCATACGTTCGCTGCGCCGCTGGCTGCTGATCCTGCGTGCAGCATTGCTTGCAATGAGGTCTAAGGGATACATTTGTTAATATTGTAAGTAATCATAGAAGCACTGCCTACTTAATGGCCTCCAGTCCAAAGTCATCTAATTTGTCACAATTGGAGCACATCAACTGTGTCTTGATGAAGCCCAGCTCCCGGCACTCGGCAACCGTGAATTCAGCATGAGCTGATTTAAGGCACTGCAAAGGCAAAATAAGTCAGATAAATATAATACCTCAAGGTAGCTCTACTTACGCTTATAAAGGCCACTAAGGAACACAATAATAACAGAAATTTGTTCATATTTATCTCAAAAATCTAATTAATCTACCACGTCGTTGTTTACAATTGGTTGAATAGCAATCGATTACTCGATAAATCTAAAAAATATCGCTACTCTCAAGTACCTCTGCACAAATTGGTATTTTCTGTTGAATTTAGTATTTCATTATTTAGTATCTGTGCAGCACTGGACGAAGCAGTGCGTCGCGTGAAGTTGGCAGTGAAACTAAATTTGCTGAAGAAGAAGAATGTGGCTCGCGTAGTCGCATTTGTTTTGCTCCAACTAATTCACTGAAGAAAATTTGATTAGCAGTTCGTTAATTATTGCAAGTATTACAATAGCTAACGAAATACCAAAACGTATTAGAATTAAATTACTTACCGTTCCAAAAGACAACAGTATTCTGTGTGTGTTTGGCAACAGTTTTTGGCAAATCAATAAATACATTCGTTGAGAGCGAACGCGCTGCGCAAAAGTGAAAATCCAATCAACGAACGCATACAAGAAGGTGAATAATCAAAATGAAAAACTAAATTCGGCATAGAAAATATAAATTCGATTGCTGTATAAATAAAACTTGTGCCGAGCTCTTGTTGCTCTTGTTGCCTTGTTGCTGCTGCATCAGTTGTTGGGGTAGCACAGAAATAGAAACACAAATGTAAAAAGGTTGTAGAGCATAGGTGGAGGAGCAAAACAGCTCCAGGGGAGCGAGAATCTTGTCTATGCATGTCTGTCAGTTTGAATGTATGCGTGAGTGTGAGTATGTATGGCTACAGCTGTATGTTTGTATGGGCGTGCTTGTTTGTGTTTTGATTAGTGAATTTATAATCTAAGAGCTTCTGCTGATATTTCGCCTCGGTGTTAAATACTTTTTCACTGTGATAACTGCTCTATGTGGCAATTGTTGTTGATTCTATTCATATTTTCTTACTCAACGGCTCGTTAATTCATTCATTTGCCCTTGTCTAGCAATATGTTGTTATTCTTTTTATTCTTGACTAGAATGCACAGGCACCAATACAGGCGCAGCTTTGAATACCCTACAAAAACGAATGCATTTCAGTTTCATGGCCTTGCATGGGCTTGGGCGTGTGTTAGGGCATTGGAAATTCGGCTAGCCGGAATTAATTCTACTCGTGAAACTTGTTTTAACTGCCCACTTTAACGGTTCTAGCTATTGCGTGTGCATATCTGTGTGTGTGTGTGTGCATGTGTGCTTGTTCATTCAAGTTGATGCATGCAACGACATGATGCTGCTGCAGGCGGAAGCTGCTTCTTAAGGTCTTCATTCAGTCGCTGCTTCCGCCTGTAGCTCGCGTCTCGTTTAACTGGTTTAGGGCACAGCTGCCTATGTGTGTGTGCGTGTGTGTGTGCATCTGTGTGCGTTTGCATTGTTCGCACCTGCTGCATGTGGCACCAACAGCAACAGCTACAGCTACAATGGCAGCTGTCATTCTGCTCAAATTTCTTATCAATACGAAAAACCTTCAGATCGTGTTTTGTTTTTCGCTATTTTTGCGTTACTTCTATTTCAACTTCTTTGTCAGCCTGGCTATCAAGTTGGCCGAGTACCTGACTGGCAGAGCTAACTACTTACGCATACATGTGCAATATATAATTGTGTATGTGTGTTTGTAAATATGTATGTATGTACGTAGAGTGCCTATTGAATTTCTCCTACCCACGCCAACTCTCAGTTTTGCCCTCTTTCTATTTCACATTTCAAACGCTGCCTGAGGTAATTTGTGTATTTTTTTTTTGGTTTTGCTCGTTTTCTTGCAAATGTTTGGGTACATTAGTTACGTGCAAAATGATATATAATATAAATATAAATCGATCGACCTATATATGTACATATATATTTGGTAAACTGTTATACTATGTTTGAAATTGCAAATTTCAATTATAAATATCGATATCGATCAATATTGACTTTTAAAAGGTCTATTTTACTCATTCGTTTTTGATAAAGCTTTATATACCGCAACTCGTTCTGCAGAGTATGGCCTACTCGAGAGTTATGCATATAACCCTTATATTTATGTACATATATATGGCTCCTATGTACATATTATGTACACTTTCAATCGTGTGACTCAGCTCTGTCTTTATCAATTGATAGCATTGTTCTGGTACATACGCGCTTTATCGCCTAATCAGCGCCTGTTTTGCCACGCAAAAAAAAAAAAAAAAACGAGCGAACTAAAGCCAGCCCAGCTGGCAATTATTATAAGTACTCATGTGTCTTTGAGTAAGAAGAGAACAGCTGTATTGGCAATTCGTGCTAATTACCTAATTGTTAATGGCTAGCGAATTACAGGTAAAACACTATTAATGGCGTGTATAAAAAAAAGAAAGAAAATAGCAAGCAAAACTCTGATTAAAGAGGAATACTAATATGAGTACTATATAATATAATAGTTAAGTGTGACTAATACTTGCCTTTATGGAGAGGTAGAGCAGAGTTAGGATTTGCAATATTTGAGATAAGATTGGCATATATGTACGTACATATAAGAAAATAAGACTTTCCAGGTATAGATAATCAGTGAAAGAGAGTGTAAAGTGCAACTACAGATATACAGCTGCGAAAAATAAAATAGCACCACTTGCAAACGCAAAGTTTAAGAAGTTCTCCTAGGTGCATTTATCAATGTATTGATCTAATTTTTTCTTGTATATAAGCAGAAAACAATTAATAATCGCAACAAGCAAGAATTATCCCAAAAATGTTAATCGTTTTTATATAATTCAAAAAATTCTCAAAAAAGTCGTAAAAATGCCGAAAAAAATAATAGCACCACTAACCCTTTTCGAGTGAAAATCTATATTTTTCGCAGATTTGAATATCTTCAAAAGCACTAATTGATGAGATTTGTTGGTTATATATCTATTTTGATTAAAAAATTTTCACAAATTCTGAAAATTTTTTAATCAAAATAGATATATAACCAACAAATCTCATCAATTAGTGCTTTTGAAGATATTCAAATCTGCGAAAAATATAGATTTTCACTCGAAAAGGGTTAGTGGTGCTATTATTTTTTTCGGCATTTTTACGACTTTTTTGAGAATTTTTTGAATTATATAAAAACGATTAATATTTTTGGGATAATTCTTGCTTGTTGCGATTATTAATTGTTTTCTGCTTATATACAAGAAAAAATTAGATCAATACATTGWTAAATGCACCTAGGAGAACTTCTTAAACTTTGCGTTTGCAAGTGGTGCTATTTTATTTTTCGCAGCTGTATGTATGGCATACGAAGATTAAGAGTAAGAGAAAGAGAGAGAGTGAGTAGAAAGGAGACAGAGAGAGAGAGAGGGACAGCTCTATCTGGAGCTATCGATATATCCCTTAAATCTGGAGCTCCTTTAATAGCTCAAGATCTTAAGCTATTAAGAAGAAGATAGAGAGAGCACTTCATATATACATACTTTCAATTCCATGACTAACTCCCTGATACCCTGTAGATTCTAGATTTCTCTGTTTTATCTCGTTTCCAAGTCCATAAATCTCTCAGAATAAGCTAGATCTAGAGTGTTTATTATGGTAGCGCTGGGCATAAGTATGCGTGTGTGTCTTATAAATTGACCTTCTCCTAATATGTCCGGCACACACGCAGTCGCCCACACCTGGAATTAACTTAACTGGGAAGCCAAATAAACTGCGCATTTGCGTGTTTTTTGCGGCTGCTCCTCCATTTGTAAATGTTGCTAATTAGAGTCGTAGTCCCCGATCTGCAGAACGAACAGCAGTTGGAAATGTACGACTACAGCAATTTAACTGCCCAAGAACTATTTTGAGTTATTATTCAAATTGTATTTGTATTCGTACTTGGATTCATATTCGTTTTCAATTGCCTAAAAGGTCAATCAAATTGGCACTCGTTTGCTCGCGCGACAATTTCTCCATGAGAACATTAACTGTAGAGCTTCATGTGTTTTTTTTTCCTCTCGCTCTATATATATATTATGTAATGCCGTGAAGTACCGTTAGACTCAAGGACACCTGACAACAGTGGAAAGCCAGTTAGCCATAAATTAGCGTGGCGAATAGCTCGTAATTAAAGTTCTAAACTTGAGCCAAACCATGCTTGTTTTTACGAGTTGCGGGTAGAAAAATATGTAGTATGTACACCTAGTTGAATATATAAATATAATAATATAGTGGAATATTCATAGAGTACAAAGTATATAGACTCCATGACGTGTGGCGGAATGTTTATAGTGCCTTTGGCACGGCATTTATTAAGTGGAACCACACGAAAATTCTTTGTGAGCATGGAAAGCTGTAAGTGTTCTGATCTGTGAAATCGTATTGAACATCTGCTCAACATGATTGTTGTTATAGCATATTCAGTATGTGAGACTCATACTATGAGTAACTGACTACTCGTTGTTTACTACTAATAGTCTGTTAGTTATTTACTGCTACTAATATTGCTCTACTATCAGTTTATTACTAATCTAACTGATATTTGTAGTAGGGCTGATACTACTACTATTTCAGTTGAACTAATCTACCGTCAATAGTAGTATTATATCACTACTCTATTAGTACTACTATTACTACTATTTCTTTTACTATTACTATCAGACTAGGCGAAGAGTATTAACTCTAAATCTACTACTATTGTGATACTCTTCACCTACTACTACTCTAGTACTACTTTTACTTTTACAACTAAACGCCCCCTCTACTTCTCTTCTGCCCTCTTTCTACTATCTACTATTTATATAATATCCGTTTCTTGCACATTCTAAGCATTGTTTAACATAATATCGATCCACATGCACACGTGGAACCAACTCTACTTGTAAGAGTTGCCTTATTGTCATTTAGAGTTAATTATAGTCAAGGTGACTTACCTGAAGTTCAGCTTGCCAAGTTTGACGTATTCGCGCTTTTGTGTTTTTAAAAGTTAAGAGTGAACACATTAAAATACCCAAAAAAAAAGCAAACAACTAAAAAAAGAAACAAGTGCAAACTGTGCAAACATCTTCGTTCAGTTGAGACAGGTAAATAAAATGTGTAATTTGTGTTTTTTTTCTCATATTCTGTACAAAACATGTAATTTGTTAATTAATAAGCCGCTTTGTTATTTTCCACTTAGGTCGATAGCGAGAGACAGAGAGTGAGAGAGAGAGAGAGTGTGACAGACAAACAGAGATGAGAAAATGGGAGAGAGAGAGAGAGAGAGAGAGGGCAGCAGTGGGAATGAGATTGAGGGCAAGGCTGGCCTAGGCAGGCATTAGCACACTCTACAGCACAGCTCGGCACAACACACACACACCTAATTCAATACCCACAACTACAAAAACACACCACAAAAAAAAAAAAAAAAAAAAAAAAAAAAAAAAAAAACAGTAAATTCACTTTTATTGAATTTTAAGTTGATTTTAATTGCACTTTGCTTTTATTCTGTTGCAGACAACGCACGAAAAACAAAACAAATAAGTCAAGAACAAAAACAAAACAAAAAGCAAAGCAAAACACAAGACACACAAATTTGTTTGCCACCCAACCTGCCTCTCGCCCACTTGCAATACTTCTCGCCATGCGCCGCCGCCTGCTGCTTAACTTGTAGAACTCAAGATGAAAGCTCAAACGCTGCTTGCCTTTTCCGCTGTGCTCTGTGCCTGCTTCTCGCTGAGCGCCGCCTGCTCCTCGCGTGCCATAGCCAAGCCCCGTCCGGAGGCAGCGCCGACATCGCCTCCGCCCGATAATGTCATCGCACTGACCACCACGTCGAGGCCGAACATCACGTTCCCGATCTACAGCTGCCCGCCCACATATGCCGCCTGGTATTGCCTGAACGACGCCACCTGCTTCACCGTGGAGATTCACAACGAGATTCTGTACAATTGCGAGTGCGCGTTGGGCTTCATGGGTCCGCGCTGCGAGTACAAGGAGATCGACGGCTCCTATCTGCCCACGCGCAATCGTGTGCTGCTGGAGAAGGCGAGCATTGTGAGCGGAGCCACGCTCGCCGTCATCATTATGGCCATGTGCTGTGTGGTGCTCTACTTGCGGCACGAGAAGCTGAAGAAGGAGAAGCTGCACTGCAACAGCAACGGGAATGATGTGGGTGATCTGGGCTTCGAGAATGCGGGCGTCGATCAAGTGGATGGCTTTAAGCCGCTGCGCATAGCGCGTCGTCCCTTTGGGCCGCATCATTGTCGCATCGCCACATTGGAGCAGGCCTATCGTCTGTCAACTGCCAGCCATGAGCGTGCCAGGCACTAATCTGCGCTAACGACTAATCTTTCAAATTGTTTAACTGTTTTCATTTTATTACAAATAACTGATTTATAACTTGAATTAAGCGATTCCATCGAAGTGCCTTTCGATTATGCAGCTAACGCAATAAGTATTATTAACTGAAATGCAATGCAATTTTGGCAGCGAGCCGCCCATTTATTAATAATACGACTAATTTAATGATTATTTATTAAACAAATGACAAAGCATTACAACTATTTTTAATAAAAATGCGTGAACAAAGTTTTGACTAAATAAAATGAATATTTTATTTATGCATCGTATTTAGCTCTATTTGCAGTCTACTTTAAATTATATTATGTATTCCAATTTAATTATCTTGATCCCATTCTTTCTCTTTTACAGTTATGCCGCACAATAATCAGCAACCCTCCGCACCTGGCGATGATCCATTGGGTCCGCCCAAGGCAGACTTCAGCGCACCTCCGCCGTACGAGCCGGACGCACAGGGTCAGGGCGGCCAACAGCCACTGGCGCCGCAGCAGCCCTCGCTGGCGCTGACCACGCACGTTGGAAGCGATGGGGATCAGTCGCAGAGCTGTGAGCTGGCGCTGCCGCAGGAGCTGCACGGCAAGCTGCCCACATATGAGGAGGTGCAAATGGAGAAGTCACTGAATGGAGAGCTGCCGCCCGCATTTCTGACCTTGCCAACGACCCAGCAGTTGCCGCCGCCGCCAAATCCGCTGCTGCCGCTGCCACCAAATCCGCTGCGTGATGGCCCCGGCGCTGTGCGCTCCAATCATCCGGCGCTGACGTTCATTGCCATCGATGCGGGCGATCCGGAGAACAGCCTGTCGACCACAGACAATTTGCTGGGCACGGACATCATGTTCATTACGGCATTCATGGTCGCATTTCTATTCAACTGGATTGGCTTTCTGATGCTCACCTGTTTCTGTCACACAATTGCGGCCCGGTACGGCGCTCTGTCCGGCTTCGGGCTCTCGCTGGCCAAGTGGACGCTGATTGTGAAACACTCGACGGACTTGGCCTCGCATGAGAACTCGTGGCTCTGGTGGCTAATCTGCGCCTTTGGCTTCCTGATTGCCATACGCGCCTTCATACAGTATGTGAGCATCAAACGCTCCTGGCGCCTGCTCTCCGCATCGGCCCAGGAGCGATTGCTCTTCTTCTACTAGGTGCGGGCGCCGTCGCCGACGGCGGATTATGTAAATACATTAGAAGTGCGAGTCATTTGAAAACGATAAACATATGCAAATATCCTTAACGTTCGATCCCAAAAAAAAACACACAAACAGAAGCAGCAAGAGAATGAGTTAGAGATAGAGAAAGAAAACAAAGAAAGATATGAAATCAAAGGCGAACTTACTATTGGTTAGTGTTCTCTGTAGTTACTATGTTAAATAGCGCAAGTTAATCCATAAATCCGTTAAATCTAGCATCTAATCTTGTCGGCATGTCAATGAGACAGGCGCACAGAGTAGTGAGAGTCGAGATGTGGATGCCATTCGAATCCCATTTCGCTGCACCTTTTGCCTATCTAATTGATGTATGTTCTTGTATATGTAAACTGTGTATAGATGTCTCACTGTAGTATCTTCTATTTTTAGTAGTCGAAGGAAAGACACCACACATAAAACACGTAGCGAAATGTATGCCACCATAATTTATGTTGAGTCTATTCTATGATGGGGTACTTAAAGACCTACAACAGAAAAGGCAGCAGTAATTTTTATAGATAAATGCAAAGAAAAAAACTATTATAATTACGATTATTGCTATTATAACGATTACAATTAATATGTTTAATCCCTTTATATGTAAAAAGATATGCATTACAAGGACGTATATCAGAGTTATACGTCAATTTTATGCAAATTAATAAAATTAAACAAAAAAATTGAAACTCCCTTGCCTTATCTTTCGTTTTGAAATTTCGCTCGATAATATTGTGATTTAATTTATCAACATAGCACTTATCGATATTTGAAAATAACGGATCGACTCAGAAATATATATCGTATACATTTGAACAGTCTGGCAATATTGTGTTTTGCAATCAACCCTGCTCTGAAAAATATTGGCCATCGCTTTCTATCGAAGTAAGCATTCATATTACTTGCAACTCATAAAGAGAAGTTGTCTCGTTCGTGTGTGGAAAATTAAAATTTCACAATAGGCAGCCATCTTTAACATAGAATAAAATTTTGTATAAAAAACGTGTTAAAATAGTTAAAGAAAACAAAATAAATTGCATCGAGCTGCAAATCAACAAAACTGTACTCAACGTAAGTCAATCAACGCATAATTTCTCGTACTTTCATTAGCTGTGAAAAATATTCAGTGCGTGTGTATGAGTGTGTGTGTGTATCTGTTGGCAGATGATTTTTTTTCACATAGTCAACCTGCAATCTAATTATTGATTTTCATTGGTGGCCTCATGCTAATAATGGCTTTTGCTACGAATTTGTCAGAATATATGTATAAGAACTTATGCAATCTGTGCCGTAAGGAAAAAGTACATACTAATATTAGTTTGCAGAGCGTTTGATAAAATGTAAACTGCGCAGAATTAATGTTGAATGAGGTTGACAATTATTATCTCTTAGATTATAATATTTAGTTTAATTCTTCGTTGTTCTTAAGTAAATAAATGCATGATCTGCTCAAAAATACTTTTTTCAATGCCGGTTTTCTGATTCAGCCGACACGCACACACACACATACGCATCGCTTGGTCGCCATTTTTTTTTTAGATAGGCATTCACCTCAGCCAGCAAAAGCATTTGCTCTTGCCGCTATTTTCAGCCGGCTATATTGTTGTTGGTGCATTAAAACCAGTTTTTTTTTGTATCGCTGCTAACTAACTGTGCCCATTTCTCTTTTGTGCTTGCGTTTGTGTATATCTGCAATTCTGGTAAACAGGTAGCGTTCTACATGTACGTCAATGCGTGCGTCAATACATAGATACATAAATGCTACCCTGTTTTCAGATGACGTTATTTTTGTATATACATACATCTTGTGTATGTATCTGCGCTTCCTTTGCACACCCCTAGATACAGATACTTAATTTATTTTGTATGCTTAACATATGTTTTTACTAACTTCACCTAAGTATTTCAACCACTATTTAGCAACGGCTTAAATTAGCTTACATTGTTTATGTTCTGTGATGTTTTTGTTTAATTTCAGCATAGCCTTTACAAACGCTTCATAAACGCACGCTTTCGCTTACCCAAAATACCCAAAACAAACTTCTTAAAATACATATTTTCATCTAGTATAGCTAAGAGTCATGGTCAGGTATGCCTAGAAACCCATTAAATATACTAAATAAACTTTTACAACTATCATTAAATGCATTTCAAGTACCTCTATTCAGAGTGTGCATGTTTAGATATAAATATTCAATTTGGCTATTTGCAATCCTCTATCTTTCTCTTTGTCATTCCATTTCTTTTATTGCAGCGTTAAGGTCAACGTAAATCCGCAACAACAACAACTGCATTCGCGTCCAGCACACTTGATCAACGGCAACAACAATCTTAAAGCGAACATGGCTTTCCGTGGCAATCAGAATCGCAATCGCAACTTTGGCGGCGGCGGTAATCAGTACGGCGGACCGATGGGCGCCAATCGCATGGGCGGCATGAATATGTCGCCATGGGAGTCGCAGAATCCCGGCGGCGGCCAATTTGGCAACAATATGCGCCAAGGTGGCGGCCAGATGAATGCCCAGGCTATTAACTTGGCCAACAATCTGCTGAACAATCTATTCGGCAATCAGAATCCACCCTCGCTGCTGGATCTGCCACGCGGCGGCATGGGCAATCGTAATCAACGCGGCGGACCGGTATGTATCGATATATATCGAGCCTGTTTATCAACATTAATATTTTTGAGTATTCTATTATTATTTTGTGTCTAATCTTCTCTCTGTGGAGGACTAAGAGAGGAGCAGAGGAGCTGAGTAAAATTGGTTTACAAATTGCACTTGTTTGATTTGAAGTGTAAATAGTATTGTAGATCGTTAATATAGCTCATTTAATACGCTAATCAAACGCTATCTGTATGTTAAAACTTAAATCCATATAAATTTGAATTTACTTGACTTTTGTTTATTATTATAAATTTCTTTTATATTGGTGCCAACAAACAAGTGCACTTGAACCAAATAAAAACAGGCTTCCTCTGCCTCTTAGCTCCCCCACTAGAGATGTACCCAAAACAAAAACCCTTATTTATTTTATTTTTATTAAGACATAAGTTTTAAATAGTTTGTAGTTGGTAACTAAAAAAAAAAAAAAGAAAAAAAATGAAAACTAAATTTATAATTAAACCAATTTGCATAAAGTGAGAACCCTGGAAATTTTGGTTAGCTGGAGAAGGTTTTCAATAGAAAAAGCATTTATTCCATTTTAAATGCAGATTTTTTGTTTTGTGTAGCATAAAATTTGTTGATGACTTGAATCGATTTGATTGATTGTACCAATTAAATATGAAGTACCGCCAACAAATGTTCCATTTAATGATGAAAAGAGTATGATGATATTTGAGAAACCAAATATATATATATATTCACTTTTTAGATGTATTTAGGCATTTMAATAACTTTTGTATAAAATACTTTATATATTTACTACGACCAAAAACCCAAATATCAAAAATCTTTGGATTTTTAAAAACAATCACAATTTTTGCTAATTTACCAATTATTTATTTTTATTCTCTTCTACACGAAAACTGAAAACCAAACCAAACAAATCATTCGATGCTTGTTTGCAAAAACAAACTCAAAATAATACGCAAAACGCAAATCGAATCGCATCGAAAACGCATTTCGAATCGCATCCAAATTGTGCCTATACATCGAATACATATATATATATATATATATATCCGACGATGTTCGTCGCTGCGTGCATTTATTGTTGTTGTTGCTGCTGCAAATGTTGTTGTTGTTTGCCAACAAAATGAATATAACTATAACTACTTTTCCGTTACTTATGTTGTCGTATCTCTTCCAACGACAACGTTTATAAAATGTGCCTCAAAAATTATGATTTACCTTTTTTTACATTATTATTACTATGTGTATGCACAACTGCAATTTCAAAACGATATACGAACATTGTGGCACATGCAACAAACGAAACAACAAACAAACACAAAATGCWTAAAACGCAAATATATTATATGAAATATGCAAATATAACAACCAAAATGCGAATATATATAAACGATGCGATGCCCAATTCTTCCAATGCGACGTCTGCACTGATTGATTGATTGATTGAAACTCTTCTAATCTGCTCTGCTCTGCTCTGAAACTGAATAACTAATCGATCCGATCTGGTACTGGTACTGATTACTGATTGATGGTGTGCAACTGCAATTTGCAAAATTACCAACAAAAAAACAATAACAATTTTAAAAAAATACCAAAAAAATCAAAACTATCATATAACACATCGCCATTCTTCTTCAACGTTCCTGCTCTGATCGAACTCACAATCGAACAATCGAAATCGAACTTCAAACCGATAAACCGATCAATCCACTTAATCGGTTCCTATGCCCGCCCGCCCGACCAATGTTCTGTGTTTCTCAAATCCACAAAATGCCATAAACGCCGCCACGCCAACGACTTCAACAACAAAACATCCCCGTCGACTGATTGCGCGAACCGCTCCGCCGATTTGACCAATATACATCTATCTATCTATATATATATACGATATATATATTTATCTTTATGAACAATTAATATATATGTGTGAATTCTTTTTTCCCGTTTTGTCAAAATGGAAACTAATTTAATTTCAAAAATTTTTATACAATCCAAAAATATTGTAAATGGCTTAATGCCATCTATATATGTTATATATGCCTTCGCTTTCTATATCTATATTGATTTTATTGTATAACTGTAATCTATCGAATTTATAATTGTACCATGTCGATAACGATACCGATGACAATCTATCAACTATATGAAAATCGTTCAAATTCTACTATTCATACCATTTGCTTCATGAAAAACAATCTGTTTTATATAAACTATATAATTTACTACTTAAATGTATTGTAAACAAAACGACAAAAAAACAAAAAAAAAACAACAAATTGTACAAAAATGTATGTGATAAACATAAATAGATGGTCAATCGCGGCGGCGGTGCCGGCAATCGTCTCAATAATCGTCGTGGCCAAGGAGGTTTCCAAAATCGTGGCGTTACGGGTGGTCCAAAGCCCCCACAAAAGCAGGGCGCCGGCGGCATTCGTAAGCAGAATGCTTTTGATCGTGCCAAGAAACTTTTGGCTAAAAATGCCAACACTAATAAAAAGAAGGAAATTACTCCTGGCGAAAAGAAAATTGAGAGGTAAGAGTACAACTACTATAAAAATCAAATACAGCAAAAAAAAAAACAAAATAATTCCAATAAAACATTTGCCAAATACAAATAAAATAACCGCGAAAAATTGCTCAATTTGCAGTTTTTCCTTCCACATCAATATATCAATTCTACAAATATTTTTTATCAATGCATCAATTACAAAAAAAAAGTATAACTTTAAGTACTTAATTTCCAATTTTTTCCAATGCATATTGATAAGTTATTTCTACCAAGAATAATCACAATTAACTATCTCAATTGGATTGCTATATTTATATATATATAGAATATACATATGTATGTGTATGTATATATAAATATATTTCCCGTTTTTATATAGAAAATATATCCTCCTTACTGATTGATGTTAAAATAGAGCGTCTTAGTTTATAGGATGGGTCGACTAAATGTGATTCGTATAATTTCATTTTTGAATTATAAATGTTACGTATTTTATATTATATATTATTATTTCGCTTATATTTTATTTTCACGCATATGCTAACTTATTTTAGTATTTTTCACGACTCATAGATATCATTTATGGGGAAAATCGTTTAATGTGTACATTCACTAATGTTCAAGGATGTTCGGCAAACCGAATTGTAAGATACCTTGAATTGCGAACAGTAATAGATTTTGTAATTATTTCAAATATATTGTATATACTTATATTTTCATATCCCCCTATCCATTATCAAACAGTAGAGCTGCTTAAACATGTTTTTCTGAATATATACTACAGAATCGTCCGCCATTTTGTAATGGTCGTTTTTACCGTATAAAAACGTATTTCTAGCAATCTTAACGAAACTCGAAATCCTTCCTAAGTTTCCATTAAATACTATCCGATTGAAACGAGCAGCTTTGCACAGAGTTCAAGGTATCTATTTATCTATTAGGATACTTCCGCCCTTTTGGTGCTATACCAATGTTTAGCGAGCTTTATATTTTCGAAATTCATGAAAGACATTTTTGCATCCATAAGTTAGTTTTATAAATATCTCTTCCCTTGATCCTTTTAAACAACAGATTTCATATAAATGTTATCATGTCCGTCTGTTTTGTATGCCAATTTTAAATCTCTCTCTCTTTCCGTATTTAAAACCATCATAAATCGTTGCATAGATTTGGTTTTTGTGCTTTGTGTAAACCACATTAAGTTCGTATATAAGAAAACTGAAGTTTTTCCGAAAATACTTTTAGCAGAGTCCGACGATTTATGCTTCCCATCCAATAAATTGATTGTCCATCCTTCATTACTTCATCAATATGCCAGAACTATTAATATTATATATATATGTCTGTTTATATATATTTAACCAGTGTGATCCTTTCAGCGTGACTTCTACAGCTGCCGCCTATTAAAGCCAGCCTCCTTTGAAATAATCTTAACTAATATATGAATTATCTTTTGCTCTTTCCACTCGATAATCGTGGGATAAATAGTGTCACCACCCCAAAGGAGTCGCCGTATGCTAGCGTGCCGAATGATATGTTCTATTGCCATCTGTGCAAGAAGCACATGTGGGATGCCAACTCGTTTGAGAACCACATTAAGGGTCGCACCCATTTGATGATGCGCGAGGGTATTGAGGAGAGCTATCGCCTGAAGGCCAACATGATACGCCAGGAGGCCAAGATTGCCGAGCAGCTGAAGTCGATTGAGTTTGATCGTTTGAAGCGCATGGGCAAGAGCAAGCAGCGCCAGTTGGATTATTGCACCATGTGCGATCTGAACTTCCACGGCCATATCTCAACCCATCGCAAATCTGAGGGTCATTTGCAACTGAAGAAGTTCTTGCATCCGAAGTGCGTGGAGTGCAACAAGGAGTTTGCTACACGCATCGATTATGACACTCATTTGCTGTCGGCCGACCATCTGAAGAAGGCCGCTGAGAACAACACGAAGGTGGGCGAGCGCAAGCGTCAGACATTGCCCATAAGCACCGCTGAGGAAGAGACTCGCGATCTCCGTCCACCACAGAAGCGCAAGAAGAAGCCCGTGAAGAAGGAGGGCGAGGAAACCACTGAAACCAAGAATGACAAAGAGGAAGGTGCCGAGGGCGAGGAAGCTGAAGGTGAGGAGCCCAAAGAGGGTGAGGAGGCTGCTGATGAAACCAAGGAGGGCGAAGATCTCAATGAGAGCCAGGAAGAGGAAGAGGTTGCTCTCCCCGTTGATCCCGAGGATTGCATCCTTGACTTTACCGAAGGTGATGAGATTCCCAGCGAGGTAGACACTCGTCTGCCCAAATACAATTGGCAGCGTCCCGTTGGCTCCGGTCTGATCTCAAAGCTGGAGTGCTTCGAGTGCGCTGTCTGCAGTAAATTCTTCGACACAGAGGTCACCGCCGAGATTCACTCGCGCACCGCCACTCATCATCGCAACTTCCTCAAGTTCATCAATGAGAAGTCCAGCGATACCAAGATAGCACAGAAGCGTGCCGCCGCTGCCCTAGAGGAGAATGAGCGCAAGAAGCGCAAGATCGAGGAGACCGAGACTCCAGCTGCTGAGGGCGGTGCCGAGGAGACCACTGGCGAGGCTGGCGAGGGAGAGCTATACGATCCATCGGAGGCCACTGGCGACGACGAAGATTTCGAGATGGCTGAGAATAACGAAGGTGAGGAGGAGGCCGGCGAGGGCGAGGAACCTGCTGGCGAGGAAAACGGTGAGGAGATGGAGACTCAGGAACAAGAAGAAGCCGAGCCAGAGCCCGAACCAGAGCCGGAGCCAGCTCCAGTGCCAACTCCCGCACCGGTAGCTCAGCCAGCTACACCGACCAAGACCGAGCCAGCCAAGACACCGGCAAAGGCACCTGCTGCGGCAGCTGCTGCTCCTGCTGCAGCCACTCCTGCTGCCGCCACACCAGCTGCTGCTCCTGCTGCAGCCACTCCAACTCCGGCTCCGGCTGCTGCCACACCAGCTCCAGCTGCAGCTGCTCCAGCAGCCGATGCCTCACCATCGCCAGCCAAGAAGGCAACGCCCGCTCGCGCTGCCGCCGGCCCAAAGGCAACGCCGCAACGCAACCGCGCGCGCGGCCGCTACAACCGATACTAGACGAAGCATCTGGAGATGGCGGCAATATTGGGCATAAGACACAATACATAGATATAATATAATCCATTAATCTAAAACACACAAACTTTCCACACGATCGTGAGAAACCCCTTTACCACTGTAAGAGAGAGATCTGAAAGCGAATGCACTTCCACTTCCTCACCTCTATTTACACGACCTTCTTTCTCTTAGTGACATTTTCATAGCATTTTGCATAAACAATTTGTAATTTGTAATTGTAATTGACACAGACCTTAACTGGACTCAAACATCTTTCAGCGTGTGTCTCCGATTGCAGAAACCAAAACACATTAATTGAACAAGCAAACAAAAACAAAACAAGATTTAAAACAATAAAAGAAAAATGCATTCAAATTATGTACTAAATAACTTTTAAAATAAAATCTTACTTGTACACATGACAAAAAAATGGTTATTTAATCAATTTAAAATGAGGACTACGATTATTTTTGGATATATATTGTGTTAGGGACAGATTTGTCGTAGTATTAGCTGTGGGATAAAGAGTCAAAATAGACAATTTAATTGTGGAGTTTCTTTAGGTATCCTGGATATACTTTAACCAGCCTTACACTTGATTTTATCTGTGGAGATCTGCAATTTCAGTATAATTTTTGAGGCTAGAATAGATTATGAACATCATGAGAAATGAAATTCGATTGCGAAGATCCACAAAATTGATACATTTTCCCAATTATCTCGAACCCGAAATCCTACCCAAAGTAAAACACTTTTCATATTTAATGGATTATTGATATCGTATCGTAAGAGCTAAATATGTTTATACATATATACGTAATGCTTACAGCTATATAAATACAGTTAATATTGTAGATTATGAGAGTATGTGAAAGAGTGTTTGTTCACTTAGCATACTAAGGATAGAGTACATGTGTTTCAGCCCTGATATGGTATTGGGATTTATTATTGGATAGCTTACGACTAAATGAGACAAGCAGCTCCTTCAGCTGACTGGCGCTGAGGGAATGTGTCTCAGCATTGAGATACTCCTTGGCCAACGAGGGTCTTCAACTCAAACACACATAGACGCACGCACGCACGCACGCACACACACACAGACAGAGAGAGAGAGAGAGATAGGTCTAATAAGTACATAGGGTATTGCAGACGGAAGAGATCTGCATGACCTAATTGAAATCCAGGGTATTCTGCTCCGTTGTGGTGGTGCGAATGCGACTCTGATCGCTCTGCGAACGCTGCAGTCGGCCGCCGCGCCAGCCGCAACGCCAGCGCTTGATGCAGCCGAGCAGCGACCAATTGATGCTCTTGGTGCGGCTCAGCACGTAGATGTACGGATCGAGAGTGAAGTGCAGGGCCATCAGGACATCGGCTATGATGAAGTATGGATGCGATTTGGGCACACGATCTTGCCGAATGGCCAGTGGAATGGCAATCTGTAGAGGCAAAAAGCATTACAATGTAAATGAAAACATAAAAAAAATCTAGTAAAAAAATTCGATTAATTAATAAAATACACTGGTTTACAAAAATGGGAAGGAAAAAATGATTCTGTAAGGATGTAAGGATAAATTTAAAATGTTTAAAGATTTGTCGGTAGTTTTAAACTGAAAATTGATTTAAAATCTTTTCACTTTCACTTATTAAGTTTGCTGTACAGTGTAATTTCTAGATATACACACAAATATGTATGTATGTATTCGCCATCTATAACTTACCATCTGTGGCATCCAGCAGATGACAAAGGAGATGCTAAGGAATGCCATAAGCTTTGCAAACTTGATCTCATCAGGTGAGGTCTCGGCAGTCATCGTTACGCTGTTGCTATGATGGAATTGACGTGGTGGTGGCATATTGTAGTGGCTGCTGCCGCCGCCGGTGCTGGTGCTGTACGGCTGAGCCGAATAGAGTGTGGTGCCGCTGCTGCTCTCGGCATCGATGCTGCGCACACTCTTCTCGCGATTAACCAGATTGTATTGCATATGCCGCTTGGTGGTGCGACTGCGTCCAATGACCCACAGTACACGCGCCACAAACAAATTACAGGCGACAATAACCACGCAAAGTAAACTGCCTGTAAGGATTATTACGATGATTATTTCTGAGATAAGGAGAGTGTGAGGGGGAGAGGGGAGACTTACCAAACACCATAAAGAATATTGAGTACGCCTTGTTCAAGGTGCCTGGGGCATCGCGATAGCGTATACATTTCAATTTCTCCGGATTCGTTTCGTCAATGTAGGCGCCAAAGCCAACAAAGGGCAAAAACGTAATTACGACGGCCACCAGCAAAATGCTATTGACGCTCTTCTGTATCAGCTCATAGGTGATGTGCTACAACAGTCAACACAGATGGATCTCAGCGATTGTCATGTGAGTGAGTGGCGATTTCCGCTTACCTTGTGATAGATGAAGGGACGTGCAAGGGCCATACATCTCTCGGCAGCCATTACGGCTGCGATACAGCCCGAGCTGACGCCAAAGAAACGCCACACCACATGACCCACACAGTCCAGTCGCACAAAGAACGGCACCTCCTCCTCCTCAAAGAAATTGTACTTCAAKAGCGCAGCAGTCAACATGCCCAGCAGACCGACCAAATCGTTTGTGGCCAGGCAGCTGAAATAGAGGTAATAACATGAGGGTGAGTATACGACTGCATAATACTCGCTCATGCTTGATGGGAACACTGAACTATGTCACATCATTTGCCTGCCTAAAGGGGAGCTCTATGACGAGCTTAGCTTCGTTTATGGAGTCCATAAAGGTATAAAATATATAGTTATTTTCCCAATATGCCACGCCTTTTAGTTATAGAGGTGGCTACGCTTGCTTGTTTATGTGGGACTTTTCTAATCAATTTGCCACACTCTCTATAAAAATTGTACTACAGACTGGATAGTATGATCGAGTACAGACATATACAATTTCTAGTCAATTCAATTCAAGACCTGAACGGACTAAGCTATAGTCAAGAATATCCATACATATATATTCTAAAATTTCCAGCTTACTTCATTCACACATTCACAAACACCAATATACTCTGTTTCACTTACATGAGCGGGCATTATAAAGGATGTGGGATTAGCTCGACGCAACTGAATGGGTCCATAAATTAGCACAGTTTGAGACTGCTTGAGGTCCCTTTTTGCCAGAGCTTTAACTGAGAGACGTGCTCAGTGCCCTTGTGTGGGCTCAAGTGCGTGTCGCGGCATAGGCCTGGTCTAGAGGGGCCAGAGAGCCAACAGAGCCTGTAAGTTATTGTCTTTTGCGTTCGGCTCGTAAATAGCGCAATTAAAGTTTTCTGCACGATAAATGCGTTTAATGATGTCACATCTATTGGGCCTTATCGATGGCCCAAACAAATTGTGACAAATCGCACTAACTGACCAGTCGCAAGTTGATAATACTTGATTTGCTTTATATATATATATATAAACTATATATAGGCGCAATATCCGCTTGATTGCCTGATTCATGTTCATTCCAAAAGACCTGATTGCTCAACATCTGTCTAGTAAAATACCTGCAAGCAATTGTTGGTTGTTTGCTATCACCTGAATCCGATTAGCGAATGTCTGCACATTTGTATTTACCTAGCTACATATATACATATGTATATGTATGTTATGTACATACATATATATCTTTCAAACTGTTTTGTTCTGGGTTATTGGCTGATAAATGTATCAATGCAGTACGGTAGAGAGAGTGTAGTCTTTTGTATACCTGGTGAAGTACTTGTGTAAACCCTTCTACACGATTCTCATGAATGCAAGTCAGACTCATACACTGTTCACATGGCTATGTATGTGGTTTATCTGAAGTGCCAGCTAATCGCTCTACTATTATTTTTTATGTCGTCAGGTTATATATATAGTTTAAATACAGTGTATATGTGGGGTTTCTCTGCATCTAATATAAATAATTCTTTAAAGAAATCTCGTTAGGCGTATTACTGGTCATCTGAAAAATTTTCAATTGGTCTCTTCTTAGAAACTCTTCAAAACATAAAACATTTTACAAATTTGCTGTAGTGTATTTAGTATTCGTTATGGTACGCCTATGTCAATCATTTGTTTACTTTCAGATAGAAGACAACAAGTTCTCTGTTTGTGGTTGCAAAGCTAGATTTTTGCTTTTATTTTCGCTTTTATTCATTTTTTCTTTACAGAACCATTGAAAATTGTCACTCGTCGTGGCGCATAAGAAAATCATTTGTCTTAGTTATAAATAATCGATTTCAACTCTCGGCAGTCCGAAGAAAATATTTACATGTATATAAATACCACAGATATGTATGTATATCGATGTGGAGATGCTGAATAGTAATTATTGTGGAACGTCTAAAGTCAGGGAAACATACTATACATATATGTATCTCATGATATAAATGTGTTTATAGTCACAGCTTGTAATTATAATGTCGTTTTATGGTTTGTATATATACCAAATTTGTACATTAGTGAGTTGTATTTGCACTAGAAAATGTTTGAGCAAATTTTCGCTAAGGCAACAAAATTTCAAATTATACAAACAAATTCAAATAACGGGCGTAAGCGACTACTTGATACTCGTTCAAGAAAAATCATAAAATGTAGAAAAATCATATAGACTTTGAATATAGATATGGTTGATATAGATATCATATCATAGATTCTATAGATCCTTCAAGATGTGCAACAAGGCACCTTGATAGAATTCAGTGATCTCCGTTCTTTAGTACCTGTATAGAGAATATCCTGGTATATCTAACGCAAGCCCTGTCTCTCTCTATATATATTGTATATAGGCTCTACAGCCAACTAATATGCCCGTTTTACCCCAAAAAGCAGGCATAAAATGGAAAAATAAGCAAATCATTGCAATCGAATAGCGGAAGTGTATCTACTATATGTAAATATTGTATGTATATATATAGACGTACATACATATATACGTATATATAGATATTTTAATTTATGCACGTACATTTTAGGGCCCGCATGAGAGCACAAACTTTCAAGGGCTGCCTTTATATATTTACATATACAACAAATACATACAGACATACATTGCTCGTACATCAAGTGCCAATGAATGCGCACACTTTCATCAATCAAAATCAAAACTTGTAGATCAAAGCTTATGCCGTTTGCACCCTTGAGCGAGCACACGCGCAAGTCCTGTGCAAGGACATTTTTTGTTGTTTTTACTCTAAGCTCAAATTGCTTTGGCAAGCACTTTGAGGATTTGCTGTGGACAAATTATGTTGAATGAAAACTGTGAAAATTGATGCCAGTTAAGCCAGATGAAAAATGAACTCAAATATCTTATGCGATTTGCCTGCCAGAAATTTCAAAGCAATGAAAGTAAATCAAAGCTGATGCGAACTAATGCCAAGTTATGCGACAGCTATGCAAACGATATAATTCAATTACGAGGGTAGTTATGGTAATTGATTGAAGAAGAGCTCTTTAATCTCATATAGTATGCTCAGCCTATTCGATGTTTATCGAATTCGTTTGCAGAATTTTCGTAGTCACATAATTTTGGTTGGGGAAGCAAATTTTTATGGCCTGACCATAAAATGCGTGGATTTGCCTTAATAGAAATATAATTGAGTTACTAAATGGGCAATTTTTAATTACGTTTTCCGATTATTAAATATTACTAAGAGTTCACAATGAATATGTAAATATATATGTATGTATCCACATAGATATTTATATTTGTGTTTATCATTTGCTTTAAAGTAAGTTTGAAAATATTCTTTGAATTTAAAATGACTAATTAATTATAGAAATGACTCTGAGTAATTATTATTTTTATATTTACTTTTATATCTCAATATAATGTCTGTTGTGCTTTGTTTATGCAATCAATGTTTGCTCTATCTTAATTAAATGTTTCGTAAGACTTATACATGTTAAACGAAGTGTAGATATTGATTAAAGGAATATGAAATGTATAATTATTAAGATTCCAAAAAAAAAAAAAAAATGTATATAAATCAATGTAAATAAGTATAATACAATACCTCAATATATATGTATCTAATACATACGTAATATTATTGACTACTTTTTTTGCGATTAAATTGCAACACTGCATAGAAATTACATTTAATTAACAAATATTGCTTGAGGTTTATGTATTTTAGAGCAAGTAAAAAATAAAAAAAAATTAAAATGAACTATTTATTCTAGGGCTGAAATCACCTAAGCAAAGAACTAGTTCGTTAGCTTGTAAGTATTTTTTTTTTCTCAAAATACTACAAATTAATGGTTTTCTAAAAATAATAATTTCTTTGTTTAAATATAAATGAATGAATTTGTCCACAGCTTTATATGAAATGTTTTTTTTTTTTTTTTTTTTTTTTTTTTTTTTTTTTTTTTCACAAATTTGGGCGGAATTATCTATTTTTGATTTAGAATAAATAATTGATAATAACTTTTAAAAATTTTTGGTAAAGTAAAATATGATAAGATATTAAGATAAAGCTTAGCTAGACACGAGCTCTATGAAAGAGCTAAACGATTTTTATTATTTTGTGCATATGTATTTGTACATATACGTATATATAAATGTATATATATATTAATCATTAAGGCTCAAGGTCACATATTAGTTGATTATTACTTATCAACAAAAACCATAAAGAAACGCACGAAAACTACAAAATTGAGCTTCCTTCTGTGCGTATTTTTTACATTATTCACTAATGTATAAATTTCAGCAGAGAATTGTTATTCATATACTTAAATAATTAATGTACAATCTTAATTTAAATATCTTAAAGGATCTCACAGTTAAAAGTGTGATGATTTTTCAATTATATAGAAAATTTGGATATATTAAGTATACGACCTGTTTAAAACTACATAAAATCTAGTTTAATTCATCAAAAAGTAATGACTGATGCAAAGCAGTATAATAACTAAATGAATTCACTCTCTACTTGATTCACAAATGTAAAAGCTTCAGTATTGAAATCCTATCCCACCATATGTTCTCAGCATATTTGTTGCGTTTATTCCAAAAGTTTGAAATGTTGTTGTTTGCACAGGGCATATGAAATGCGATACTCGCATATGTTTTCCGATTTAGCTTTTAGTGATTGTTTTCTGTTTGGGGTAGCTGAGCTTTTCGCGTAGTACGCTCGACTCTGAATGCAAATTCGGACCCGCACAATTTCGATTTGCAGCAAGTTGAACAAACCTCAACTGCCGTGAACTCGAAGCACCGAGTTCAAAAACTATATATGACACTATTAATGGACACACTCGCACGCGACTGACTTAGAGTGTGTGTGTGACTGAGTGTGTGTATTGGTGTCGATATATGCATTCGACTTGACTTACCGCAACATAAAGGTGTATTTGCTGTTCTTGTTATGCTTTTTGCGCGCCAAAATAATCAATGCCAGAAAATTGCCGATCACTCCGAGCCCCATGACAATCAAACTGAATATCAAACGTCTCCGATTGTTATACAAAGCGGCTGTGGCCGTTAGAGCGGCCGATCGATTTGTGGTCAACTCGTTGGCCAACTGCAGCAGGTGCCCCACAGTGGCATTGTCAGCCCCACTGGCCACGGACATGGCGGTGTTTCTTATTTGATGATAATTTTACCAATGTTTGTTTGCAAAAATATTTCTGTGTACGTTTGTGTGTGTGTGTGTGTGTTGCAAGTGCGGCAAGCTGTAAACTAGTTTTGCGATCGTCAGCCACTTGTTCACTTAATTTATCATTAAACTGTTTAGCAATTGCTGTTTTTCGGCATTAGCCATAAGTATGTATATATATATATATATGTATATATATATTTGTCTCTGTATAGACTGTTACGCACGCGCGATATATTCTTTTCGTTAAGTTTTGCCGTGCGATGTTTGCACCGTCTGCAGCGAGCCGTCGATTAAGAATAACGAGCCGATAGCTCAGCTAACGACAACGACAATAACGCTGGCTGCTCTGTCGCAGTCGCTGGCGCCGTTGCTGCCTCTGCCGCTACTCGCCGTCGTGGGTGTGAAAGCACCGGCAATGCCGCAAGAGCAAAAGCAACAGCTCCTTAGCTCAGCGCAGCCAGGCGAAGCTCAACAGTTGGCACACGACGCACACGATGTCGTCTTCGTGTCTGCTCGATGCTGCATAGGTGAGACGACATCGTGTGCGACAGCAGCGCCGAGCAGCCACGAAGGCGGCATCGTGTGCGTCGTGTGCCAACAGTTGAGCCCACCCCATTTAGCATGCGTCGCTCGTGCCGAATGCCGAACAACAACGTCGACGGCAACGCCAGCGTCAACGTTGACTGCGACAATAGCTATAGCTATAGCAACAGCAGCAGTGGCAGCGTGTGCGGTCGTAATTGCTTTGCTATTTTTATATGCTCTTCCACTGGCGCAGCCTATGCACTTGGTCATGCAGGGCAGATGTACGCCTTACACTGTATACAGATTAAAACTTCTACTCTACATAACTATTATAAATTTTATATATATAAGCGAATATCAAATTCGTCATCTAAAGATTGTAAACATCTGAATATTCCCAAAACTATTTACTATATGTACATATGCTCAATGTAAGTGCATATTAAGTTCGACTTTCGCTCACTCAATGAATACTCCGTGCATACAAATGGAGCTATATTAAAGTGTTACCATCATCTCAGCTGCTGTCACTCCCAGGGGTAAACTGATGTGAATATGTGACTGAACTATAAATCTATCGACCTAATCAACTAGACATATAAACGCATCGACTATGTGTGTAAACCCTATTACCAGCAATGTATATTGGTCGCCAGCTAAACGTTTTATTAACCATTGATTGCTTTGATATGCTTATAGTGTATCCACTAATTATCAGCAGCTGCAAGCTAATATTTCGTAGAATAACCCTAAAGGATTTATTTATTGAGTATTTGAAATTAAAATGTTTTTATTAGACTTGAAAATACTCCAGCCTTAAAGCACATTCTTCTTAGAGTATACTTCTTTCGGTTATACTAATGAATTTTTCATTGATCTGTGGCTGAGATCAAGAGTGATCCTGATCCCGATCTAGAACTGTGGCAGATATGGTTCTACTTTTATTTGCCACGCCCTCAAGAGGCGCGTATATACTATTTAAGATTCGTCTTATGAGTTGTTCAACACTACGTAGTAAATCTTTGATGTCACTGCTGTATTTATATTGAGATACGGACAAACTGGAAAAAATGAGAGAAGACAAAGAGTTGTTGAACTCATGGGTGTATTCAGACAGAGAAATGGTTACAAAACCTATAGACTCTTTTATCATCAGGAACAATGATTACAGTACCAGTGGAAATTATCAAGAAATTCGATAAGAAACCATAATGTAATAGGTATACTAAAACAGGAATCAAAAGAAACGTCAATAATTCAACGTCAATTATTATTAAATTGAATTATTTCCAAATACCTTGAGCTAATTGAGGTGATGAGTGGTCAAAGAAAACCGAAGCTTTTAGCTAAAGTGTAAGTAGTATATTTATTAATAGTGCATTTATAATTCGTTTAATGATTTTTTTTTTCAGCTTAACTACTATTATTTTTGTTGGCAAAATTGTGAACAATTAAAATATTTTGTATTTATTGAAATTTTTCGGTGGATCGTGCGCGCGGATTTTGATTCGGAAATTTGTTTGCGCACATTTAAGAATGCAATTATGAAACAAATAGCTATTGCAAGCAATCAATACACCAACACACACACACACACACACTCTCTTACACACAGAGTGTGTGCGAAATGCTTGAGTTAAGATCAAAGAGGCGCATACGAAATGCATTCTAAATGCGATATTAGCCGTAAAGCGAAACGGAAGTGAGCAACACGACGCCGTCGCTGACGTCGACGGCGCTGCCGTCAAGCAGCGCGGCAAGCAGCGCCGGCAACAGCGCTGTCTGCAGTCAGCGGCTTCAATTTGTTGACAATGCGGCGAATGCGCAATGTGTAATTTAATTGCGAGTTCGCAGCCTAACGCACACACACACACACACACACACACACAGACAAGGGTTTATGTACACACACCCACAGACACAGATACACGCACACATGCTGCCAATCAATTGTTGGCCCACACAATATGCTTCACATTCGTCGACTTTTGTTGATAATAAATTCAAAGACCGTCAGATGCTGGTCCCTATGAAGAGGCTGTCCTGCAGCTTGAAGGACGTCATGCCGTGACTATTTTTAGCTAATTTGTCCAAAACACACACACCCACCACACACACATACACACAGACAGAGACAGATAGTGAGTAACAAAAAGGCAAACACGAACTTTGACTTAAGGCCCAGTAAAAGTTTTTGCGTAATATATTCCAGTGAATTCAGTCTATCCCTCGATGTCCTGTTGGCTATCCGTTAATTGAAAGCTTACAGAGCGCCGGCCTCATAATTTTTCGTTTGCCTTTTTGAGGGCACATAAAAATTGCATTTATATACACTATATACTTCATACTATATACTATATATATATATATACATCTTCTCTTCTTTGACAGAACAGTTGACTGACCTGCGACTCTTGGCTCGTTGCCTGTGGCTTGTGTTGGCCAAAATGGAATTCATAAATAATAACGTATTATTTGCTAGACCTTTTCATTTATTAGCTTAGCACCCTAAAGTCACTGATTAATGGTAAAGCAGCGTTTGAGCCAGCCCACGCGATGCCTGACTGCCAGTCCAATTGCCAACATCCTCTTGTTATATTTGACAAGCACTTTTCAAATGTGAGTTGGGATAATGCTGCCCCTAAGCCCTCTAAATGCTCTAGTCCCATTTCCAAGAATAATTCAAATAGTAATATGTCTATATATATCTGTATATAGTCAAGTCTTACAATCGAAGTACTCATATAATTTTTATATCTGTATTTACCCACATATTCCGTATTGACTTTGTAAATCTTCTGACTCATTGGCAAACCCCACTTAAGCTGCTTGCACAATTGTATTTGGCCTGCAAATAAGATATATATAGCTCCACATTCTTTCCACTGACTCCGTAGTGCCTGCAAGTTTTGATGAAATATTTGTGCAGTGTCCCATGTTATATAGGGAATGATTTGAGGAATATTAAAGAAAACTGTACATATAAAACATGATTATAAATATGTAATTTTTTTTTTAAAGAAAACCTATTATAATTTATTCTTTTCTCAGTAGCTCTCTACTTCTTTTCTATTTTCTTTTTACTTTACTTACTGCTTTACTCATTTAATTATTCATAGTCAGCAACTATGAAGAATTATATACTAAATCGAATCAGTTCTACGAACTTGAAAAAAATTGTTATTTACAAAGGTCCAGAAATCAGGTTGATGGAATCGTGAAACAAGTGCTCAAGTAGAATACAGTTGATAATTAGTAAAATTAGATAATTTTTTGTATACTTCTCAATATTTGGTAAATTGGAAAAATCTTTCCATTATAAAAGACCAAATATAGCTGCCCCGTTATACACTTTCCTATCTGCGCGAAATGTCAAGGTCAATGCAATTTTTATTTTTATATGTTTATTTAGTTCGTTTTTTGTTAACTTATCTTATTTGCTTTAAGTTGTCATTAAAGTTAACGAGCTTGCAATCTTCGCAGCTGATAACACACTCGCTCGAGCAACATTTTTTGGGGTAGTCCCAATTGCATGAGCTATGCATGATAAGTAAATATATGTGTGCATATGAATGCATACACATGTGAATACATATACATTCAGACATATGTAAATGCGTTCATAATTTTCTAGTTAGATGTCGATGCTGTCCCAAGAATTGTGCAGCTCGGCAAGCTTGAGGAAACTTGAAGTGGGTGCTGCTCGGTCATGCATCAATGTCTTACAACTGGCTGGCTGGCTGGCTGGCTGGGTGGGTGCCTGACTGCAGTTGTTTATGCCGAGTGCATACTGTGACGTGAATTGCATACGAAGTGCAGTCCATTCAAACGGAAGCTGCGCCAACAATTGGCCGTAGGCGCAGAGCCACCCAGTGGCTGCACAGTGGTTCACATATTTGCAGGCAACTATTTAGCATAACAAACAAATAAGAATGTTTATTGTATTGGCACCTTAAAAAGGCACGCAGCCAAAATTAAAAACAAAACATATAAAACAAAGAAGCAGTCAACAAGTAAAAAAAAGATTACCAAGTTTTAAATATCAAAACATTGAGACATCATCCGCGGCATTTTAATGGCTCAATAAGTCGTCTCTCTCTCTCTCTGTCTATCTGTCTCTCGGCTCACAATTAACATTTTATCAATAGAGGCTCCCAAAACGTAGCGCTCGTTCCATTAAAACGGGCCGGAATTAGTCAATTGGAATTACAAACACGAAAATTGTTCAACGCGTGCAAAGCCAAAAGCGAAATGAAACAAAAACAACAAGAAAATAAATTTAAAATTATAGAGCCCACAAGATGTTGATATAACTATAGATAAACAGACTGTAGCTATACACACACATATATATGTATATATATGTATAAGTATGTATAAGTAAAATGCAAATGACTTAAATAAAACCGAAGCTGAAATCGAAAGAATTTTAAAAACGAATGCGACACAATTGCATTTGTAATTTGTTTTCGATGTGTATATATATAGTAGATATATATTTGTATGTCTGGCTTCCGCTGACAGCAATCCGGACGCTAATTGAGTTATGAGCGAGAGTTGAGTTAACTTGCTTAGTC